GCTATGAAATGTATGGATAAAGATTTTGATAAACGACCTACTGCAACTGAAATTGTTGAAATAATCACTCGTTGGTTAGGTGAAATAGATCAGGATGATGATAATGAAATTAAAAACCAAATTTTGGAAGCTAATAAGATTAAACCAGAACTGATTGTACAAATACATTCACAAGATATGTATACCAGCAAATTATATGATACGAAAAAAATTTCCGAACATATTAGTAAACCGATGAGTTATTTCTCAAATTTAGATTTAAATTAAATTATAAAAAATAAGCTTTTATGTAACTGTATTTAATAAAATGCAATTATTTTAGTATTTTTTTCTTAATTATCAATAATTTTTATGAAATTTAATTCTATCTTTATAAAAAATTTATTCGAATACTTCAATTCAAATAAATGATGAAATTGATTTTAAAGGAACCTTATCCAAAGAATAAATCATCAAGATGCAAATGGTAAGAATAAACAATCAATTAGATTACAACAGCAACTGGATGTAATATCAGTTTATAAAATTTTAACATATAAAAATGCCTTTAGTTAAAATAACATCTGATATACGGAACGTCGATATAACCAAAATGACGTAAAATCAGTGATGCCTCAAATATCCTTTTAAAGTTTTTTATTTAAACATCTATATCTAATTATGAGCTGCAAAATTATGTTTAAACAATAAAATTCGTTTTCATTGACTATTTTCAGTTACAGAAATGTTACATATTTTATTTCAGCCTTTCTTGTTCTGGTACGAAATTGGCTGACATTTCAATTTCAGTCATAAAAGAATTAATATTGTGAAATTTGTACGGCTTCCTTTATCAAAACATAGTAGTGTAACAAATGGTCGTCAAGTTAGAAATATTGTAATTCAATTATCTAATTTTATGTCAATTATTTTTAGCATGTATATGTTAGACTTCACTCTCAAATTTTGTCAATTAAAATTGTAAAAATAAAGTAACTACATTGGAAAGTACGAAAACATTGTTTTACAAGAAAGATTTTTATTTCATATTACATCAAAGTATAGTATGTCGGGAATTAAATTTTAATTAACGGAAAATATTTTTAATCGATCAATTGAGTTTGTCATTAAGATAAGTAAAGTAGATTACATGAAGGAAAAAAGTTTAAATGTAAAAAATGATCAGTGAGTTTATCATTCAGTCAAAAATTTTTTATCCCGAACCTCCTTTTTTTTTTTGCGCTAACTTATCAAAAATTTATAAAAATTAAAGTGAATAAAGTATAGCTCAAGTGTTTCATACTTTTATTATGTATTTCATTATCAGCACTCATTTTTTGTAAAATCTTCGATAAATTTTTAAAATCCTCACAAGCAGTGATTTGAGATATTTACTTGCTCTATTGTTGAAGTTGAACATCACTACAATTATTAGAAAATCACGCTAATATTAATGTTTGAGCATATCTCAATAATATTGTCATTCGTATTATGAGTTTATTCAAAATCTTATGACAATAGCATATGGGCTGATCGGGCTGATTTGCGTGATATTTGCGAATAATGTGATTAAGATTTTCAAAAATTGAATAACAAAATAAGGTAGCTGCGCGACGCTGTCACGCGAAACCAGGAACGTAAATTAATGAATTAATGCAATTTGATTAGATTATCTGAGTACTTTTAAAATTATAAATAGTCCGAAGAATTTATGGGTAAAGCTTGCAATCGATATTATTTTTCTTATGATGAAATAAATTTTGATTGGTTTTATTATAAGAAAATAAAAATTAGAAAAATTTTAAATGTGTTTAGATTTGAGGTAGTGAAGCAGGTGGTTGTTGATTGAGTGATCAGGTTACCGAAAGAGGATAAACAATTACTCTTTACAGAAACCTCACGAGTAATGCTGTATGAGAAACCATTTTTTTTTGTTTTTAAATTTTACAACAGTAAATAAGAATAGACGAAAACTTTATATATTCGAGTTATTATATTATTTAAATATTCTATTGGATTAAAGGAAATTATAGTTTTCATTATCAAGGTCGTGATAAGAAATTCGATCCATATTAATAACGGTACAACAGTATAATATATTCATCATCAATAAGAATATTACCAGATCAGATTAATAATTAATTGGGCTATTTGATTCTGCAGTGTATGCACGTTAGGGATGGTAAAAAAACGTTTTAAATAGTTTTTTAACATTTTTTATTGTTTTAAAACTTTTTTTAAAACATCAGAGTCTGATTGAAATTAAAATTATCGGTTCTGATTGGCTAATTTTAGTTTCGATTGTTAAAGAGAAATTTTCAAAAAACAGCATGCTATACAATTTTGAATTTATTACATTTAAGAATGTATGTATTTGATCGTTTTAAGAGTTTAAATGCATAATTTTGCCTATCCGCAAATATAACTTCCATTGATTTTAAATGCATAATTGCATATCAGCAAATACAACTTTCATTCTGTACTAGTTTTACATTTGTTAGTTTTGAAATACAAGGTTACAATACATGCATCTTCTTGTAAATATTATCACTTTCATAAGTTATTTCCAGAAAAGATTTTCAACAGCTGTAAAAAGAATTAAAAAATTTTGATAATATACTATTCGCATCCGATTTATCTAATTGCATATTATTCAAACCAGAATCCAGATAGCCTTTTAATTGGTCAACTGAATCAACACAGTCTTCTTTGCAATAATTGCATTTTTGGCAAGGTGTTTTTCAACCATGTTTATCGGGTTTAGCAACTTTCGTAAAGTTCAAATGGATCTTTTTTAGAGGGGGTCTTCCGCGAACATAAGACATTTTTGAAAATTTTTTATTTAATTTATTTTTGAATATTGATTTATTTATTTTTGAGTATCGATTATAAAAATATTATAAATTAAATTATGCAATTCAGATCATTATGTCATAATGTATTAAAACAATTTTCAACAATTTTAAATCAAACAAACATGTTTTTTAAAATCACGTTTTAAAACATTTGCCATTCCTAATACATGTAAAACAAGTTCTTTGTCTCTTTATACATCAAAACAAAAATTCATTACAATATCTTTAAGTAATCATAATGCAATATAGTCAGTTATAGTATTTAATGTTTCTGAATTGTGATTAACCAGTCAATTACTTGATTGCGTTCACTTGATCTTTATTTTTTTTCATAAATACAATGGTAAAATGAATTAACATATATAGATTAATTATAATGCTAGTAAAGATCTATAGTATGGACTATAATACTTATACAGATCAAATATTATTTAGAATATCAAAAATCACAAGTGGAAGAATTTTTGAAAATAATTAATAAGAGCAAATAAACAAACTTGTTCAACAGAGGGATCATATATAAGCAGATCTAAATCTGCATAAAATCTATGAAATGCAAATCATACTATATATTTTTTATTCTTGAATCAATTACCAAAAGTAGTAAGGTATAACAGGTATAGATGCTCGTATGTACGTACCAGAATTTATAATAAGCGTACAGCTACAATTTTATAAAAATGAATTGCTTTCATATAGCATTAAACAAAACCAGTATATGTAATCATGTACGTACACAATGTCTAATGAACAATTTGAATATGCCATCCAATAGGATTCAAGAATTTGAACACAGATAGTTGTCTGTAAACCATACACTTCATTACTTTGTACTACATTCCTGGTACTCACCAATTGGATGGCTTGTGTGATATTTTCGAATAGCGTTATTTAAGATCTTCAATAAAGTGATTTATCTTTTGACCAAAATTAAAAGTTGGAAGATGAGTTGAAGTTAGTTAGAATTGTGTTTTACTAATAAAATTAGACGCAGAATTTCAACCAACATAATTAATTCGAAGTATATATAATAGAAAATAACTGATAATATATTTTATCTTTCTTATTTCTTTAATACGTAGTAATAAACATTTTACCTTTATGATCAAACAGTATAAGTAAAGAAACCAAAATAACCTAGCACCATAAAACAACCAAACAGCAAGCTGGATTTTACTACCTCCTGTTGAATATTTGAAGTCACATTGCCAGCAGTGTAGTTAAAAGTGTTTGTTAAAACACCTAGGAACTTAAATTAAAATGCCACCTAGTAAGACTTAAAGTATTTATTTATTTATTTCATTATTCACTAACAGAAGACTTACAAAATCAGTTTTCAGCATGTCATCCTCTTAGGGAAATTCAGCAACAACAAAGTATACAACCCAATTCCTTGGAAGTTGTTGATAATTATCCGAACATTTATATAACATGATTTAATGGAAATAAAAAAAACAAATATCTCTACAAAATCTTTTGTCTTGGTCACTATCCATCAAATATTAAACAAACACAAAGATGTGGTTATTTAATTCCTAATGATTATTTAATTCATATCAAAATTCGTGGTGTGAATCTTATAGCTAAAACTCGATATGATTCTAGTAATACAGTAATATATATATTAACTTGAGATAATTCTGATGGGGAAAAACAATCTGTATCAAGTAATAAGTCCGCAAGCAATGTAGCGACTTTATTTTTACAAGTTTGTATTAAATTAAATTTAATAATGATTTTTATATATACAGTACTGTATAGTATTATACTTACTTTATACTTGTAAATTAGAAACTGTACACTAATAATAAGTCTGCACTTTCTGAAATAATACTTTTTGGATTTGACCTTGAATGTTTAAAAGAAAGACAAATTAATGACAGCCAAGTTCAAATCCAAAAAAATAAACCTTTTCATCAGCTTAAATCTGAATCACAAAAAAAGAGCAGACTTCAGACTTTAGCTTATGATATTCATAGTAGAATTGAATCTACACTTGATCTACACAATTTTCATAATACAAAATTAGACCATGTAGAATTAAATATAGATGAATCTCCAATTAAATTTCAGAATGTTGATTCGAAAAAATCCAACTTAAAAATTTTAGATTCAATAGTTTGAGCATGTGATGAACTTTTAATTTCTCATGATGGATATCGTAAGCTTGCAGCTGTTATGCCCGAAATAGAACAGGAATATAAAGTTGAAAAGCATCGACAAGAAATAACTGAAACTGTAAATGATATGATTTCAGTTTATCCAGTTCAAATAAATTTTTTAGCACCTAATGGAGCTTATCATTCACTTAAAGATATTTTAAATGTTTTAATTTCTAAGTTAGCATATGGAAATTCATCAGTATTAAAAATAGGGGATGTTGTTTACATTAAATTAAGTAGGAATGGACGGCAGATGGGTAAACATCATAATCATGTAATGTTTACCGCCTGCATATTAAATCAACATAAAGCAGTTTTGAGTCCACCAAGCCAACATTGTATTTTTCTTTACACGGGTATTGAACAGTATGAATCTCTTCAGCAGGCTTTTAATTTTTTAATTAAAGAACTATTAACTTTAAATATGGAAGGGATTATTGATTTAAAAAACAATCATTGGCCAATTGAGTTTTGGTTTGGCACTGATTGAAAATTTATGTCACTAGTACTTGGTGTTAAAGGACCAACTGCTACTTATTTTTGTTTATATTGCAATTGTAAGAATACTGATCATTGGAATATAGACTTAGATTATGAAAATTCTTGTAATACTTAGGCTGCAAGAATTTAAATCTTTTACCATTTTTAGAAAATCAACATTGTTTTCCAGATTAGTTACATGTAATGCTTCGAATTACTAATGTTTTATCGAATGCCTTTTTTTAGAATTATTAATTGAAACTATATTTAATAAATGATCAAAAACAGTACTGATCAGACTATTCAGGAAAAAATTGAATTAACAATTCATTTTCTTGGCATTAATATATTTAAATTAAAAGAACCCAAAAGTTTAAAAGGAAGATGGCTCTGAACATCATTAATAGGGCAAGATAAATTGGTTATTTTAGAAAAATTTCCAATTGAATTATTTATTTTAGGTCAAAGAGAAAAAGAAATATAAACACTTTGGCAAGAGTTTTATTTTTTATATCAAACAATGCATAAAATCAATCTAATGGATGAAGATATTACTAAATTCAAAATTTTAGCACAACAGTAGGTCAAAAAATTTTGCCAACCAACAATTGAAAATAGAGAAGATGAAGTTTTACAGGAGTGACTATATCAATGTGATGATGTTACTCCCTATATACATGTACTTGTATGCTATATTTCTAAATTTATGAAGTTTCTTAAAACAAAAAATCTATATTTATGATAGTTTTCATGTTTGGGCGTAGAGAAGAAAAATCATAATCATGTTCAATTGTTTTATAGCGGCACTACAATGAGTGGTGGTAATTCTTTAAAACCCATAGCACATGAAATATGTTCATATGAGAATAGACAGATTTATTATTATATTAATGAAATGTCTATCTCTTATTCTAAAAAAATTATAAATTTAAAAAAATAAATTTAGATTACAACTACATTTCACTTACAAATTTCAAATGTAAATTTTAAAAGTCCATAAGTCCATGTATAAGTTTTTTCATTATACTCCTCCTTTGTTGTTCGTTCTTCCCAAAAGAACCCAAATTCAACATCAACCATTTTTTGCATTTCAGGATCCTTTTTTTTAGTCGCTACTTTAACTATGCTTCCTGTTTTTGTTTTTTTTCCTACCAGCAAGGATGCACAAAAATATAACTAATTTTTTGGTATCCATCTCTTCCCTTATATATACATTTATATTTTCGCTAGGCCGACCGGTATTCAAAACTTAGTTCTTGGTGAAATACGAAGAAGAAAAGGTTTTCATGACAGTAGATTCTAAATTGCTTAAAGCCTTAAGCTGAACGGTGAGTATGAAGGCAGGATTTTACATTTGCAAGAAAAATTGAGTGAAATTGGTATAAGCACCAACTAGAGAGAAGCTTAAACCCGGAACTATGAGGTACAACATGGTTATGTAGGTGTTTATTTACTTCGTAAGATATCAAAAACTTTTTGGTTGAGTAAGACTTAGAACATAAGAGACAACAAAAAGGTTTAGCCAACATTGTTATCAAATTAGTGTAACCACTGAGATATCACATCCTTTTATTATATAAATTAGCTAAAATCTACCCATATAGCTAAAATTATATTATAATACTTGTGCAACATTTTGACCACTATGAAATTGCATCTAGATTGATGCTTGAGAACAGAGTATAACCTTACTCATTTGATTCCACTAAGCTAGCTGATTCAATTTTGATTATCAACTAAATTTTTATATTGATTCAATTCCACTGATTTATTTCTGGTTGCACTGCATTGTAATTTAAATTAATTTGAAAAATATGTTGTACTGCAGGAATCTGTACAATAATATTAAAAAAAATATGTTGTACTGCAGAAATCTGTATGATAATATTAATACTATATTAATAATTTTAAATTTATGCTTGTATATACAATAGCTTATAACAATGCTTCAAATCTTTTGAAATTTTGGTATCGCTAATTATTATGATGTAAATTTTTTTGTAAATTGCGTCATTTAGAAAATTTCAAAGTTTAATTAGCGATAATATATTATAAGTAAAGTTAAATTGATCATACGATGTTTTGTAGTTTTTGACAATCGCTTCTGATTTAAATCAGTAAAAACATTTGTCTAAAATTTATTTTTTTTAAAATAAATCTCAAATTTCAATATGGACATAAATTCTCTTATTAACTATGAAGAAGATGATATTTATTTTAATTATGAACAAAGTGATTGTACTTTTATCAATTCAGTTAATATTAACTATAATCCAATTGATGAGTTGAATTGTGAATCAATCGATAAGTTGAATTATGAACCAAATAATGAATTTAATTATGAACCAATTGAAGAATTTTTATCTGATAATACTATAAAAGATAAAAGTTCTGAAGATAATCATTATGAATTATTAGATGAGATATTATCAGACAATACAGTAATGGATAAAGATCCTGATAATAGTTTTTCAGCATAATCCTTTTTAAATGAATTGAATTATTCTCAAGAAAGTTTCAACAAATTTAAACAATTTGATTATTTACAAGAAAGCTTTAATGAATCTGAGCAATCTAATTATTTTCAAGAAAGTTTCAATAAGTCTAAATAATTATTATTACAAAATATAAGTATTTATTTTTTAATTTTATAAAACAAATTTATTATATAAATTATAAAAAATTTAATTTATTATTTATTATTTATAGTTATCTATTGTAATTGATTTTGAAAATAACAATGAAGATAAATCTGTGTAAGAAATATATTTAATTACTGAGCAGTTAAAAGTTAAAGAAATTATTCATTCGCTTTTACCAATGGAATACCCACCTACATCTGAAGATAGAATTGCAATAGTTTATAATATTGAAGCATGAAATAACTCCAAAGCATTTATAAATAATGTAAATATTTTTAATATTTATATGTTTAAATAAATATTAATTTTAAATAATACAAATATATTTATATTTGCAATTTTAATTTATAAATAGATTCAATATAAACTTGGAAGACCATGTGGAGGTGGCGACGCTAATATTTACTGCTCTTTTCTTGAAACTTTAGTTAAAAAGTCTCATTATACTTGTCAAGGCATAAAAATATGTGAAAATTTAAACTTAGATATTAAAAATAAAAATCATTGTGAAGTAGATATGAATGTAGATCTTCTACAATCAACAAATAATTCTTTGGATATTTAGCGAACAAGAGAAGCTAAAACATATATGTAATTTAACTTTAATTATTATTAATAAATATTTATAGTATTTATAATATATATTAATAAAATATTTTAATTTATAGAAAATACTTAGCATTAATTAATGGAAATCAAACTTGTTCTTTTAATAATAAAAACTGTAATGGCAATTTTGTAATTAGAAAATTATCAAAATTAAATCAAAATTCTAAAGATACATGGTTTATTGGATGTTCAAAATGGAAATCAACTGAGTCTCATTTTTTTATCAATTAAAAGATGAAATTGATTCTCAGTTATTAAAAAGACTATTTGAAGGTGAATTAGTAAGTATTTAAAAAATTAAATTATACTTTCATTAAATAAAAATAAATTTAATATTTATTTATAGATTTTACCTTTAAGTGAAGATAATTTTTATAATATTATATTTTCTTCAAATTCATGAAGAAAAACTTGTGATAATTAGATTTATTTATTAATATTATTATTTTAAGTTTATGTTATATTAATTAAATTAATTATATTATTAAATTTCTATTTAGGATTTTTACATAAAAGTTCAAGCAATACTTATCAAGAGGGAAAAATCATAAAGATGAATTGTAATGTCAAATTTCAAAAAATAATTTCTTTGGATCTTAAGAAAACACCATATATTATATTAGTTTGCAAAGACATACATTCTCATTCACCTCCACCACCTCAAGAAATACCTTTAGAAATAATGAATAAATTAAAAACATTAATTAAATTTTCTTCTGAACAATTTATTGATATAACTGCAGAAAATTAATTAGTAGTAAGTATTTTTTCTTATAAATTAATTAAATTAACAATATAATATATATTTAATTTTAATTTTTAATAGATAATTTAATTAAGGCAGCATTTGGAAAAGACTATCTTTCTGAAGTACATGCTTCACTAAATAATATAGATAAGCTTCGAAGATTAGTAGCTAAAGTTCAAAAATCCAAACATCCTATGGTCAAGGAATATTAGGTCTAATATACAATATTTGGTCATTTAAACCAGATTTATTAGGATATATACAACAATCAGGTTAGTTAATTAAATATAATAAATTAATATTTAAAAATTTTTATATTAATAATTTAATTATTTTAGCTACTTTTGCAAATAGACATATTATGATTATATGTTTATCTGAATTACAAGCAAAAGAATGGTTGAAACTTAATTATTTTGAAATAGACTTGTCTTTTAAGCATGTACAAAGAGATATCAATGAATTTGAAATCAATTGCTATAATGAAAATTATAAAATAGGTAAATTTAAATTTTTTAATTAAATATATTTGATTTATTTTATAATAATAATTAATTTAATCTAGTTAGGAAGGTTGGTGCTTGAGGTACATCTGTAGAACGGAGGCACCCCAAAAGGTGGCGTGAGATACAAATACGGAAAGGCAGGCCAATATGTACTAATTAGGAAGAAGTTATAGGAACATGCAGGTGAATACATGTGTGGGACATGTACCGCTCTGTTAGG